ATCAGCAACCAACGTGTCTCGGCCTTTGCTGTGTTTAATATTCATATCTTTTATTCGGCTTCCCAATGAAATTTCATAGCAGGGATTTATCTGAATTTTGTGTGGTTCATTGTGACCATGCCCAGATCAGGAAAGCTCGCTGACTTTGTGGAAGCATGCATCTGCTATGACGAAGCGTTCTTTCAACCGCTGGTCGACTTGCTGGATGTGGTGTACCAGGCCTTCACACGATGCCAAAATGACCATCGAGGAGCCCTTGGTGGGAAGCTGGCATGGTTCATCGTTGAGGAGCTCCAGCTGCAAGGGTCTTCTGGTCCGGTATAGTTGTCATTCTTTGTTTTCGCAAGCTGAACCCTTGCAAATTGCTCCTAGTTGGGTGACCGGTCATTTTTGGTTCTCTTCCATGATTCGATCTCCAGCCCAGGTTCGAGCAGTACCGAGGGCATTGGTGGCTGCCGGGTGAGAATGGCTGGTACCATTTTATATATTAAAGATGGAGCTGAGAAAAGAGAAGCTCTCAATCTCTCCGATTTGTGTTTTTCTCCAGGTCCAAGGGAGCAGCATCTTAGGCAGAACACCGCATGATTGTTCAAAAAGAAGATTACAAAGGCATGCCGCGTCGAAAACAAAACAAAAGCGTAAAAAGGCATGCTGCTCCCTGGTCGCTGGCACCTGCAGAAGAATGCCTGGAATAGGTCCCGAACATCGGGCCTCTAGACTTTATGCCCTTTACTGAGGCTGGAATTGGACTCAGGTGTCCTGTGGAATCTGGTTGTATCCGTAGAGATGCGCAACCGAAACCTTTACAGTTAGCGAAAGCCACAGCAAAAAAAATAACCAACTGCGATTGGAATCTACTGGCAGCAACAGACATGATGGGGCAGCTGAAATCTCTGAGAGATGAATTGAAGCTGAGGTTGTCTCTCAGCTGAGTCAGCTGATGCAGGCACAGTTCTCAAGCGTGGGCATGGGAAAATCATGGAAGATCAGCAACTAGGTGCCATGTCGTTTTTAAATGTTTTCAAATGTTGCCAACATTCAAAACCATAAAGTTGGGGTATAAAATGGTATCAAGTTTTGGGTGAAAAAATCATTTGAAACATTGTGGGTTTTGCTCATCACGGGATGCAATTTTGCCAGGTCCACCCCTTCAGCATCAGTGAAGAGCACTGAAACCACTTCATCAGCCAATGGGAAACTTGTCAGCATGATGAGTTTGGTGCAGCATGTGTGATGCTGGTGAGCTGGTAAATGAATGTAAGATTGTAAATTAAATTCAAATCATTTGCCACATTGTGGTATATTGGACATTATTTGACCATTCAGCAAGTTGTTTTTTTTGATAATCTACCCATGGATAGATATCGTGATTTTTCTGTATTTTCTTTTGCATCTTAAGATCTGTTGATGATGGTAAGGCCTAAATACTCAAATTGCTGCCTCTGGGCAAGGCGCGGTTTTTGGGCAGATAAACAAGAGATTTGTGAAAGGGCAGGAAGCTTTTGCCTGCCTCAGAATTAGTCCACTTTGACCGTCGGTGTGCCAATAGGATTTCCACCTGGTGGAAGATTAGTGATGTCATTTGATGTCATTTGGCGTAAGGGGTGTGCCATGCGGCTGGCGCAAGTTCTAGTATAGTAAATGGCGTAGGTATCAATAATGTGCATGTTTGGATATGTTTGGATAAGCGTCCACATGGTGTTTAACATCCATGGATATATATATATATATATATATTATAATATAATATTATATATATATATTTAAGATTGTGGGACATAACTGTGCACACCCGTCCTGATGGGGATTTGGACAATTTGGCAAAAGAAAAGTGATGAAAAGTGCACTGCCAGGGACCAAAAAATAACACTTTTACATAGTGCGTCCCATGGTGTTTTAGACCTGGTTGCATTGACTTGTTTGACTTCCTGAATGCGCAGCGTCCCATGCAGCTTTTACCATCTTTTACCATTTGTTACCTTCGTTCCACATATGCATTGACTTTCACGTCCCAGAGTACAAAAGAGTTTGGATTTGGGCACGGGGCAGCTATTCCACTATATTCCACCAATTTCCAGTATAATTGTATAATATTGTATACTCTAGACGTTTTGTGAGTATGAGCTTCTTGACCATAGAGGAATCAATCAACTGGCACATCATCAAAGCTGATTCGTCCAAGGAGAAAAGACTTGAGGAATGCCGTCATGCCACAAGGCCCAGCGAGTTCTGGTCAGATCACAGCTTCATCATGTGCACCGGATGGACTCCTTGGACACCACAGCACAAATTGCCTATCTGTTTGGGATTGTTTGGGTACCTTCCAGCCATTTCTACCGAACTTTCCACCAAAAACTGCATCACTGAGGTCAGCTGAGTTCTTGTTGCTGGCGCACTACATCATAGTCATGGGCTTCCTGAATTGCCAGCTGCAAAACATTGCAAAACCAGGAGATTCAAAAGGGCAAAGATTAAGCCGCTAGATGTGGCAACTGCAGATCACAGACATGCCCAGACAACATTGTTTTTTTTTGAAATTGCAAAGGCAGCTTTTGCAATTTTTTGCCACGTGCATCATTGGCATGAAATTGGTTTCTGGAAAAAATGAAAAAAACATAACTGCGTTGAGTGATTTTTTGGCTAAAGCCCTTGGCCCATTTTTGGGTGGCCGCGAAGGCATCAAGGCAGGCCATTGGGGCAATGAATGTTTTTGCCCTTTCTTGATTCATTCAGAATCGTCGAGAGTTCCAGTTGTCTTTGCATGTGGAATGTTCTTTGCAGTGGAATGTGTTTGATCTTGGTATGCTCCATGATTTTTCTTAAAGATTATTGATATATATATATATATATAATTATATATATATAGATATATTTAATTATAATTATAGTGATATTATATACATATATATAGATATATTTAATTATAATTATAGTGAATTATAGTGATATTAAATATATATAGATATATAATTATAGATATCTATTGACATATATTGACTAATTATGACATATTATGACATATTGTGACATAATATTACATAAGTTTACAATATTTTACATATACCCCACCACCACTCTCTACCATTCTCTACCTACCACAGGTGGCTAGTGGTGCAATGGCAGACCCGAATATGATCTCATCGGATGTTGCCCGGTTGCAGAATGTGAATGGTGACATTGCCCATGGAAGACACCAGGCAAGATGACCAGGCTTTCGAATTGCATTCTTATGTGATCTTATGTGTACTATTCGCATTTCTTCCCAGCCCTGAACATAATTCATCATAATTCATCATAATTCAACATATGTGTACTTGCATTATATGAGATTTTATGATATTTTCTGAGTACTGAGGCTTCAAAGCTAGAAGACATGGCCCTCATGGCACCTGTGGACTCCCAGGCAAGGCTCCTTTCGCCATTGCACTATGTGCTCAACGAAACCTTTTTTTCAGGGTAAACTGACATAAACTGACAACACAGTCCACGGCCGTACCTGGCAGTACGACAGCTGAAGTGATCATACAGAGAAAGGTTGGGAACACTCCCAGCAAGAAATAATAAGAAATAGGCAACACCACATAGCACAAAACCCCACCATGATTTGAACATATTTGAACCCTGGTTGTTTATGTTTTACCATGGTTTACCATGTTTTAGCATGATTTACCCCCTCCCCCCTCCACAACGTTACTTTGGGAAAGGATGGGAAGGGGATGAAATTTACCCGCGCTTATGGGTGCCACCCATAAGAACGGGTAATTGTTTGGTAGAGCGGGTGGATTCAATTTTGAATGAAAATCTATACATACGGCTGCCCTACCCGCGGCAGTGAAAGTTTCCCCGCGCTTATGGGTGCCACCCATAAGAGCGGGTATTCCTGGGGTGCCAGATGTGTCCATCCAGCAAGGATATGGATCCTCCTGACATGATCTTTGGGCTGGCCAGCATTCAACTGTATACCAACTAAAGTACACTAACATACACTAACATCTCCTACCATTGCATCCAGAATCATCCAGATACTTCCATCATACACTGTGATGGTGTCTTGTGTTGGAAACATCTGGACATGAAAACGATTGCAAACGTAGGTAGTGCATATGAAAGGAACAGTGAATACTGTGAAAAGATCAAAGGGCACCAGCCAATCCAAGCTACTTCTCCTATGATGGAAGTATCTGGATGATTCTGGATGCAATGGTAGGAGATGTTAGTGTATGTTAGTGTACTTTAGTTGGTATACAGTTGAATGCTGGCCAGCCCAAAGATCATGTCAGGAGGATCCATATCCTTGCTGGATGGACACATCTGGCACCCCAGGAATACCCGCTCTTATGGGTGGCACCCATAAGCGCGGGGAAACTTTCACTGCCGCGGGTAGGGCAGCCGTATGTATAGATTTTCATTCAAAATTGAATCCACCCGCTCTACCAAACAATTACCCGTTCTTATGGGTGGCACCCATAAGCGCGGGTAAATTTCATCCCCTTCCCATCCTTTCCCAAAGTAACGTTGTGGAGGGGGGAGGGGGTAAATCATGCTAAAACATGGTAAACCATGGTAAAACATAAACAGCCAGGTTTCAAATATGTTCAAATCATGGTGGGGTTTTGTGCTATATGGTGTTGCCTATTTCTTATTATTTCTTGCTGGGAGTGTTCCCAACCTTTCTCTGTATGGCACTTCAGATCACTTCAGCTGTCGTACTGCCAGGTACGGCCGTGGACTGTGTTGTCAGTTTATGTCAGTTTACAAAAGGATTACATAATACGGAAGCAGCCTAGCCAACCAGCTGAAAAAATCTCACCTTCCTTCACTCAACTCTACCTTTCGTTCATCCCTGGTTGCCGGCAAGTTTCCTGGGGCCTTTCATCATGCCAGGGTGCAACATCACATGTAAGGATTCCAACAGTGTGGGTACATGTGATCACACAATATATCACAATATCACATTGTTTGGGCCTTGGAAACGTTAAATGCCGCCAGCAGCTTGCCAGGTGGATGCCTCTGAGTACCAGGCCTTTTCAGTGCATGTGCAGGTGATGGATGTGAATGGTCGTCCAGCTGAGGGCTACTACAAGTGGCTGAAGGAACTCGTGCTTGATCTTGATCAGGCCAATTCCTCTGAAGCTGAAGTCATTCGCCTGGACCAAGTGACTTGTGATCTTTCTCCTGGTGATGGACGGTGGCGTTGGGTCACACGAGAAACGATCTTGCACAAGTTCGAACTATGGTCGGCTGGTGGGGCAAACTGGGGACCAACAATGCAGCTCTGTGGATCAGCCCCTTATAGCATCTGCATTGGGCACCAGAGGATTGGGAGCCTCCACTGCTACATGCAATGGTGTTTCTTGGCGAAACGTGGCGAAACGATATCCACCCAATGTGATGTGCAATAAAGAACACTCACATATGTTGGAGGAAGTTTGGCCACGTTTGGCCCGTTTTTTAAGCACTTATTGGGCACTTTTTAGTGGCTATCTTGGCCCCCTTTGAGTCTCTGAGGGTATGTTGGATCCATTTGAGGCTATTATCTCAAGCTCATGTTGGGCCTATGTTGAGCCTATCTTGACCCATTTTTGGCCTTTAGTGGCCCAGATCAAGAATTTTGACCCCATGATTTTGACATGTACCACTGAGCATGGAATGATGCTGTCTCTATTCTAGTTATTAGTTTATGAGAAACCTTCCATATCCAATGCATCCACGGGCGTGTCAGGCTACTTGACTCAGCGCACCCCTGCCGATTGGGCGAAAACCATGGCCAAGGCCATCCCTTGCAAGCTGGAGTCTTTGCAGCCAAAGCAGGCAGCAATGAGAGGTCTCAAGGAGAGTGTGCAGACTCAGGCATCATCCACAGGCTGGAATCCTTACTCTTTGGTGACCATGCAGCGAAGTCATTCAATGTCCGTGGAGGAGTTCAAAAAGGAAGTCAAGGCATTGATGCCACAGCATGCAGGCAACACAGCCCCTTGGCCACAAGTATCTGAAGGGATATGACATGATACATCATGATACGACATCACACTACATCCCAATATTACAATATATTACAACATATTGCAACATATTACAACATCTTGCCTTTATGATCTACTGAAATTGGTTAATTCAGGTTGAAGTAAGATGATGTAAGCTCCAAACATAAGATATCATAAGATTTGTACCAACGAACTCATGTGATCATGTGTGCATTAGCAATGGAATTGACGCTGGAAAGACGTCCCAAAGTCATGCAAAAAAGCTTGCAGCTTTTGATTTCTTATTGGCAATGGATTGCCTTTGCTCATTGCATCTCATATCATCTCATTGGTGAGACATTGAAGACTGTTGAAATACAATGAAACGCATCGCCAAGGAGCTTTTCCCCTGGGACGTTCTGTGCTACTTTGCACGCAATCGAGTGTCCGATGATGTGCTCCGTACCATCTGCCTCTTCTGCGAAGAGTTCCACCATGCAGAGATTTTCCCGACGACCTGGTTCAAGGATGTTCGCTTCATGGTCCCGGGTGCCAGAGAGACTGCAAACACGTCAGTCAACTTGACACCCCTGCAACAGCTGCTGTGGACAGAGCGCATGATTGTGGAGGCTGGGCTGTGTTGGGTGAAGTTGCATGGTTTGAATTGAACATAATTGAACCATATTGATCCATATTGAACCTTTGTTGGTTTGAAGAAGTTGACCAGTGATGTGATTTCTCGTGACTGGTGGCTATTCCTGATTCTCACACATTCTTGCTTTCTTCTGGAAGAGTTGTATGCCTGATCCCAATCATGTCACATCATGTTGCATCAGGTTCTAGGGCTCCAAGGCAGATCTGTCCACCACTGCGCATTGAATCGTGGTGATACCCAGAACATATTTGACATATTTTGACATATTTTGACATATATCACTGCACAGTGCAGTTGAATTCTGATTGTATTGTGGTCCATTGGTTGACCAATGTTGAACATCAATGAGCAAACCATGACAGATTCGAAAGAAGCTGGTGGAGAAGCTGAAGGATGAGCTGCAGAACCGGATGGCTGTGGTGAAGCAGGGCCCTGGGATTGCAAAATCCTTCGCAAAGGAGGTGCGGCTGTCCTTGAGGGATTTGGCAGTTCGCTACAGTGCAGCGTTTGACGTTGCAGACTGGAATGAGGAGGAGAAGTGGCTTGGATGGCGCTCTTTGATCTTTTCACAGTATTCACTGTTCCTTTCATATGCGCTACGTGCGTTTGCATTTCCACATGTTTCCAACACAAGACACCATCACAGCGTATGATGGAAGTATCTGGATGCAATGGTAGGAGATGTTAGTGTATGTTAGTGTATGTTAGTGTACTTTAGTTATCTTTAGTTATTTTTAGATATTTTTAGTCGGTATACAGTTGATTACAGTTGAAGGCTGGCCAGCCCAAAGATATCCAAAGATCATGTCAGGCATGTCCTTGTCAGCAAGTTCAGTGAGGGGTGTGCGGATGTGGCAGTCAAGCATGCGCAGAATGCTCAGACATGGGGACCAGTCCGGGAGTTGCTCCAAGCGCGGAAAGCGTGCAAGGACGAGATGCTGCTGCGTGAGGCCTCAAAGCGGCTCGAAGAAGCCCAGACCAATCTGACCTTTGCGACTCCGACGCCAGAAGAAAGCATGCAGCTTCAGCAGACTCTGTTCTGGGCGGAGCTGGCCAAGAGCTTCCAATCCATGAGGGCAGACTGGGATGAGATTCTGACGGGTTCACGGGCGATCGTTCAGCAGCTCTTGGAGAAGCAGTCCATCGAGTTCAACGACAAGGCAGCATCATGGAGATGTGCACATTTGATATCATTTGATCACATTTGTGTAATCTTGAACAATGATGAATTGTAATGATAGTTGGAATATGTTGGAAGATATTGGATATTATTGGATCACATCGGAAGCAAAGAACATCAAAGAACCAATGCAACAAGGCATGGCAACATGTTGACACACTTGAACTGGAGCACAGGAGTTCCACTAAAAGAAAGATCAAAAAGGAATCAGGAAACATCAGGAACAGATAGAATATCATAGCTATAGAATCAATATAGAACATTAATGAATATTTTAGAATCACAATGAATCAGAAATGGTCAGTATATGTCATGAGATGTCACGAGATGTCCGGAGAAGTGCAAGCATTATCCAGCATTCACAAGCCTTCTTTGCATGGTTAGGTGACAGCGAGTTTTCAGATTGTGCCTGGCATGAATGCTGTCACCATCCCAGCCGAAGCCCAGAAGCGGATGGAGGGAGTGGAGCAAGGTGTGACTTTCATGCAATATTTTTTTTTATATTTTTTTGGTATTGTTGAGGAACGAGGACAATCAATCAATTTCCGTTATACATGCCCACCTGGATTCTGGGAGGGTAGATGCTTGGGTGATGTGTGGTGTGGTGCGTAAATATGCATAATATATCATAATATATCATAATATATATATAATTATTTATATAATATTATAATATATTATATAATTAACTATAATTATATATATAATTATATCAATATTGAACACATGTTAAAGGATGTTAAAGGATTGGCGTCAAATGGTCCAAAAGTGAGTAGAGCCGGTAAGATATGGTAAGATATCATGGCATATCATGGCATATCCTGGCGTTGCAGGGCTGCTTCCAAGTGCAAATTTAAGCCACTATTTCCAAGATTTTGTATGCCCCGCTCGAACCTGCAAAGCTGCCCAGGTTGCAATCCTGACCCTCAATGCCTTTGCCAGTGCCAAGCACACACAAATGCCACCCGTTTGCCTGGAGCTGGTGAATTGGGCTTCGCGTGCTGGTCACTACCTGATCACCCTGCTTCCAGGAGGAGCCGATGTTCATCCCTGGGAGAAAGAGTTTCTTCAGGCTCTTGAGATGGTGGAGGCCAAGAAGAGGTTCTACCTCACCGATGACCACGAGGTGCTGCAAGGCATTGCAGTGAATTTCCCAATGAACAGTGCTGTGCCAGCGCTCCTGAAGGTGAACATGGGCGCAGGTCCCACATTGATGTCTGAAAGCAGGTGGGACCTAGAAAAAAAATGAAAACTATGAAAACTATGAAAAATACATAAAAATACATGCCATTTTTTCATGCTGAATTCACCATAATTCACCCATACTCACACAAAGAACATCAAAGTACATCCAGGAACCAATGTTTACCAAATCTTACCAATGCTTGGTTATTTTGTTTCATCATTGTGGTTGTCCAATGTGATGCTACCTGTCTCACTCATTCTGATTTATTGCAGGTGATTGTTTAATATTGTTTAATATTGTTTAATATTATTTATTTATGTTTATTTATTCTCATGAATTTCCACTTTCACCACACGTCGGTCATCATTGACCAGAGATGCCGTTAGGGAGAGAGAGAGAGAGAGGGAGAGAGAGAGCGAGCGAGAGAGACACATGATGAGGGATGCTGCACAGATGACTCGTCTCCAGATGTCTCCTTGCTTCCCCCTTGCTGTTTGATGCTGTTTCAGGCATGATCTGAGTATTGGCCGCTCCTTTGACTCTTCGGTGTGGACTGCGTTGTTCAAGATGCTCTTCCCCAATGGCTTGGAGAAGGATTGCCACTTTTTGGAGTGCCCGTGCAGCACTTCAAGCCTCCTGCTCTTCCTTTTGAAGGAAGCTCCATGGGCACAAAAGGTGGTCTACACCGGACTGGTGGAACGTGGTCCTGCAAGATTTTCAGCACTTGAGCGGCTAGTGAATGACCATTTCAGGAAAGCCACGACCAAGGAATCGGAGCCTCTGGGCAATGTGGAGCTTGAGGAGCTGAATGAGAGAGCAAAGATTGGCCAAAAGGAGTTCTTGGAGAAGGAAAGGCCATTCAAGCCAAGGGCGAAGCCAACTTGGAGCATGGGCATGATCATGGACCCCCAGTCGCCGTACCCAGAGCATGCTTCGTTGCGCAAGGCTATGCACCGTGGCAATGCAAAGCAGGAGGTGGACAGCCACCTCCCACCAGCCCTGCACTGGCTTATGCAGTCTGTTGAATTCAATGTTCTGCAGATCCCATCACTGCTGAACAGTGGCTTTGGGTTGGTCGCAACCTTAGATCATTACCTGGGTGGATGTGAAATGATGAAAATCATGAAAAAAGGTGCAGCCCAAATTATCCCAAATTAAATCCTTGTTCCAGAGATTGTAAAGATGAAGTATAATGTCCTCTAGCCATGATCGCCTTGATATCATGTGATTTTATCATATTTTATCATATTTTATGACATTTTAATATATTTTATGATACTGGAATAGTCAAAGGAGTTTAGAGTTTAGAAGTGAAACTTCCGACTTGAAATCGCAAAACACTGTGTTTTACAGATTGTTTTACATAATGTTTTACAATGTTTTACACAGTTTAGAATATTTTAACATATTTTAACATATTTTAACAATTTTTAACATTTTTTTAAAGATATGTTAACATATTTTAACACCAACATCACCAAGCGCAAACACTACCTAACACTAAACAACGCCACTGACACTCACATTATCTCACATTAAGTAACACTATCACGAACACTATCCTACACTAATACTACCCAACACTAACAACAGTAACGAACACTAACACCACCTAACACCATCTAACACGTACTATCGCTATCTATCACTAACATTAACGAACATTAACTTACATTCACACTCACAAAAACTATGACGAACCCTACCTAACATATCCTAACATTAGCACTAACAAAAGCTAGCACTAACACAAACATACACAAACTATCACAAACTAACATTAACAGTAGCAAGAGCTGTAAAAAAAACATAAAAAAAAGAAGCTGAACAATTCTTAACCCTAAGGCTACACAACCCTCACACCACCAACTCAGCTGAACCAAGAGCCCACATTTAGTAGTGAAATTCGATCATGCATGCACATCCATTCAGTAGAGCTTGAGGCTATGCAAACCGTTTCTTCACTACAAAATGGTTACACAGCCTTTATCTTAAATTCACATAAATTCACAGGAGGATGAATTTACATTCTATTACTACAGCAAAGGGCATCATTACTTCTTTTCCAATTGTCAATAATGGTTGTGAGAGATCCAGGTTTTGAGGTGCCTTGTGCAGTACTCCTGGTTAAAAATTACAATAATACATGATATAGCATGATATATCATGATATATCATGATATATCATGATATATCATGATATAATAATATAATATAAGATATAATATGATAGAATATGATATAATATCATGTCATATCATTTCTCACAGTATCTTTATTGTAATAGCATATAATGCAGCACACACACATATACAAAATATTACAAAATATTTTAAAATATGTTACAATTATCAATATATATATAATTATATATTTGATTATATTTGTATATATATATAATATTAATATATATTAATAATTATAAACATATATAAATATATTACCATGGATGCATCATGCATTCTCAATCTTGTCTAATGTTTTCCACGATTTCCACAGCAGCATTCAGAACGCAAGCATTCTAAGGTCGCAACCAAGAGCTTCGAACCAGGGGAACTGGTCATGAAGATCTGTGGCCCGTGGCACTTCTCTGGTGAGTTCACTGGGACCCAGGAGTCAGGCATTGCAATTGACTTTGAGCGCAATGGTGCGATCCAGATAAGCTTGCTGCTGCCGTTGGATGGGGACCGGGACCTGGTTCGGCACATCCACATTTGCGATGACATGGATCCTCCAGCAGGGATGACGATGCTTGAGCCTCAATGGACGTTTGGCGGAACATCCCATCCCACGTTGAGCTTGGTGGCCACAGAGCGCATCAACCCATTCACGAAGGAGCTGGCACTCGCTTGGTCAGTGTGCAAAGTGTCAAAGCGCAAGGGGAAGCGTGCTGCTGCTGCTGCTGCTGCCGCCGCAGAGGCCTGGAGTCATTCCGATTTCTGGTTGCGCGATGGATGTTTGTTGATGTTGGTTGAACTATGTTGAAATGTGTTGATATCAAAATGTGAGCAAATTATTTTATTATATTTTATTTGCGGTCATCTTTCCATTTGATCCAAGTTAGGGGCCTGCACTATTTTTGTTGTTGGAAACCAGCATTTGCAGAACATTGCAGAACCACATGAGATTGTTCAAGAATGTGTTTTTGCATTTTTTTGCATGCTTTTGCAGGATGAGCCAAACAAGTGTCAAGTTGCCCAGGCGAGCCATTGAGCAGATGCCTTTTTTTCATTTTTTCTATGCAATTCCATGCATGCATGTGCACATATATGATCATATATGTGCACATATGTGCACTGATGGCGCTAAGGGTCCATGTTTCACAATGTTTCACATTGTTTCACAACCTTCAGCCATGCTGTGGACCCTGACCAGGAGAGTGGTGCAGAGGAAATTGGGAAGGTGCAGTTCTCAGATGTTCTCAGCATCGTGGCGATGTGCAACAATCCGACTGACAATCCACGAAATGTCTTTTGAATTGACTGTTTTTGGATTTTTTTTGGGTTGGCCAATGTCACCAGCGAATCCACTAGCTTTATGATGCTTTATGCAACATTAAGCAACCTCTTGCAAATATTTGCAAATATCCAAGATGATGATGCGAATCATTGCAGCGAAGACAAAATGTGATGTCATAATGGATAATTTTCATTAATTTTCAGCATCCTACAATGAATCTATTGCAATTTATTGTATTCTATTGTAATCTTTCCAGTGTTTGTATGTGTCTGATTGTGTCTGATTGTGTCTGAACGTATTTGTTGTTCAATGTTGTTCAGGTGGCAACACCTTCAAAGCAAAAGGTGGAGCTGGAGCTTGCTTGCCTGGAGGCCACCTGGAAGACGACATCCTGCCATATCATGCCATATCCATCAATATCCTTCCTTGTGTGATATCCTCAAGATGTGAGCAACTTATTTTATTTTGCGGGCATCTTTCCATATTTTCCATATTTTTCCAAGTTAGGGGCCTGCACTATTTTTGTTGCTGCAAACCAGCATTAGGTGCAGAACATTGCAGAACCACATAAGATTGTTCAAGAATGTGTTTTTGCAATTTTTTTGCATGCTTTTGCAGGATGAGCCGAAACAGTGTCAAGTTGCCCAGGCGAGCCATTGAGCAGATGCCTTTTTTTCATTTTTTCTATGCAATTCCATGCATGCATGTGCACATATATGATCATATATGTGCACATATGTGCACTGATGGCGCTAAGGGTCCATGTTTCACAATGTTTCACATTGTTTCACAACCTTCAGCCATGCTGTGGACCCTGACCAGGAGAGTGGTGCAGAGGAAATTGGGAAGGTGCAGTTCTCAGATGTTCTCAGCATCGTGGCGATGTGCAACAATCCGACTGACAATCCACGAAATGTCTTTTGAATTGACTGTTTTTGGATTTTTTTTTTGGGGTTGGCCAATGTCACCAGCGAATCCACTAGCTTTATGCAACATTAAGCAACCTCTTGCAAATATTTGCAAATATCCAAGATTATGATGCGAATATATGCGAATCATTGCAGCGAAGACAAAATGTGATGTACATAAATGATCATAAATGTGCACTGATGGCGCTATATGCATGGTGCATTATTGCACTAGGGGTCCACGTTTCACAACCTTCAGCCAGGCTGTGGACCCTGAGCAGGAGACTGGTTCACAGGAAATTGGGAAGGTGCAGTTCTCAGTCTCCTGGCGGTGTGCAACAATCCGACTGACAATCCAGGAAATGTCTTTTTATTATTTTTTTTGCAGTGCGCGTTGAATTCGTTCAGCTTTTGGTGTCCCCATGGGACATCATGTGACCACCATTGTCATCCATTGTTCACTAATTTCATGAATGACCATGCAAGCTGATAAAACCTTGAACCATGTGCAGCATTGTGCAGCATTGCGCGGCCACTTATTTCGATTTTTCCCACCTCCCAATGGCCTCCAAAGGCTTACATCTTTTCAAGATATTTGATTTGTTTTTTTATGTTTTTTTTATTTTTTTTTATGTTTGGCTTTTTTTTTGCCTTGGTGCCAATGCTTGAATTGGAGATAGCTGTGTACATTAACTCGCATGACTTTGACCCTGGGGCAGGAGAGTGGTGCAGATGGAAAGGACCAAGTGCAATCCTCAGATGCGTGGCAATGCACTATGAAATTGTTCGGCGTCAATCTACCCGAAAACAAGCTTTGCAACTTTTGCTCCTCACAGACTGAGCAACCTTTGCACCCAAAACAATTGATCAGCGTAGCTTTAACATGCTTTGATATGCTTTAACAATCTATATCAATCTTTAACATGCTTTAACATGCTTTAACAAATTTAACAAACAATGGGCCGGATACAAGTCCTTCGAGTTGTTTATCTGCGTTTATTTGTCGACATCGCTTGGCCTACGCTGTTATGCCTGGATTAGTCTTGTATATCTTGATTTTCTATGATATCTATGTGCTTGTCTTGTTGCATCTCATTGCATGCTCCATGTTGCTGCATCATGCTGCAGCCAATGCCAAAATCGCACTCAGCAACATTAAGTATTAAGTAGGCTTCAGATCATGACAGATCTTGACAGTTTTTGCTTCTCAATTTCTCTTCGTTTCTCTTGATGACAGTGACATGCGCAAACACGTCAGGCCGAAGACCTGCTGCGCAAGGTTCTGATGATTGCCAGCAAGGCAGATTGCAAGCAAAGTTCCCAAATGTTCTTCGATACACCCTTAATCTTTGATGGATAGAGCGATGCAGGTATCTTGTTTGCCACGGTATGTTGCATATTGTCGCATTATGTCGCATTATGTCGCCTTTTTTCATGCAGCAAAGGGGGACAAGTGTTTCCAGTGCATTCCATTACATTTCTCATGGTTTCCTGTTTACAGGATGAGGTGCCCCAGAAAAAGAGGCGCTCACAAGCTGAGCAGGCGTGCAGATTCTCTGCGCTTAGAGCCTTTCATTTTTTGGGGTGTCCATGGGTGTCCCATGTGAGATATTGTGAGATTACGTGAGACCCTGTCAGGCTGTGGGTCAGAAGGAAAGCGGTTTACTTGCAGCGACATGATTATCCATGTATATCCATCTTACTTTG